GTTCCAGAGCCTGGGGGCAAATACAGAAAAAGCCCTCTGGGAGGTTACCAATAGCCTAGCTTTCCTCGGCTCCAAGAATTTCCTCCCAGAGGAACTGAGTGCGCGGGGGGGATTATACGGGAGGAGGCGGTCTCTGATATAACTTGGACCCAAGCCATTTAGGGCTTTAAACGTAATAACCAACACCTTGTACTGGGCCCGGAAGTGGATAGGCAGCCAGTGGAGGGACCTCAAAACCGGAGAAATGTGGTCCCTCCTAGATGTTCCAGAAACAAGCCTGGCTACCATATTTTGAACTAATTGTAGCTTCCGAACCTGGCATGAGGGTAGCCCCATGTAGAGCGCATTACAGAAGTCTAGGCGGGAGGTTACCAGCGCGTGCACAACAGTCTCGAGATCCCTTACTTCCAGAAAAGGGCGCAGCTGGCGTATCAGCCGAAGCTAATAATAGGCACTCCTGATCGTTGCATTAACCTGATTTGTTATCAGTAGCGATGAATCAAGGAGCACCCCCAGACTGCAAACACAGTCACTGGAGGAGAGTGTGACCCCATCCAGGACTGGAGGTTGCAACCCAATTCTTGGTTTCGGGGCCGCTACCGTGAGCACCTCCGTCTTGTCTGGATTCAGCTTCAATTTGTTTTTCCTCATCCAGCCCATTACCACCTGAAGGCGAGCGTGCGGCTGCCCCTCCCCTTCCCTGCACAGAAGACGGCCCAATAAGCCATCTGCTTAGGCCCTAAGTCAAAATATTGCAGTTTCTGAAAACTATTTGCAATTTGAGACTTATTCTGCATAAAATTCTCATGTGGTATTCTTGTGCAGAAAATGGTGTTTTGCTTTGATTTGTTTTGTTTTATGCTGTTTCCTATGCAGGAAATGTTGTTTACTACACAAAATAACTAAGTGTAAATTTTGCATAGTCCCAAACAGCAGTGAAGATTCTTGCTAGTTCAGGATTCTTCTTAACAGTATCTCTTGACACTCAAGAAAACATGCTTGACCATATTTGTGTGTGTGTGTGTGTTTATGTGATAGTAGGGATAGTGATAGTCATAGTACTACTGGGGACAGAAATAATTGTGTGTGTGTGTACCACCACTATCATGCTTCTGGAGCATACAAAGTTTGGTCCTGCATTTAGACACAACTTTTCTTCTCCTTGCTGCTATGGAGATTATCACATGACTTAAATAATACTCCTTACCTCTCCTGAATTTAACTCTAATTTGCACTGCAGCCGTGTTTTATCACATGGCTTTTGCAGTGGAATCCAACTTCAGAGTAGATCCCCCTCCAATGTGAATTGGAAAATGTGCTCTGGATGCCATTTTTCAAATGTGCATTGGAGTAGGGATCTACTCTGAAGTCAGATTTTGCTGCAAAAGCCAAGCAATAAAACATGGCTACAGTGTGAATTAGAGTTAAATTCAGAAGAGGTAAGGAGTATTATTTAAGGCATGCGATAATGCCAGATGTTCCATAACCTTGCAGAGGGGATCCTGCTGAATGGGATAACTTATGGTATGCAAACAGGGAGATCCTCAAAACATTTGTGGTGGAGCTGTACAGAAGAAGGGAAGGGAACACTTCTATTTTAGATATAGGGATATGTCTTACTGTACATTCCTAAATCTGGTCACAAGACATTGGATTGCATTGCTCCTATCCCTTTTCAGTATTTACCAGTAGACATTAGCCAATAACCTGAGCTATCAATCTTGGCTACTTGCTAGACTACATGTGTGAAGGTGTGCCTATCTTCTTTTGCAAAACATAGAAGTTTATAAAAGTTTTTTTTTAAAAAAAAAATCTATCTCCCATTTCAAGGTACTTGATTTGTAATTCACAAATCTGAAACTGTGAAGTTTGTGAAAAACTGAAAAACTAAATATCACTCACTGAAGAAAGAATCTGACAGAAGTAAATGCTAAACTGGTTTCTGGCTGTAGATCAACTCAAATCCAAATCTCTCACAGACTGTCATACCTACCAACTGTACTGCTTTAGCAAGGTCACATTTGGAATTCTAAGTTTCTGCTTGAAGCAATAAAACTAGTTTGTACCAAATTTTCCCTTTGGTTTCAGTGGTCCAGTAGGACGATGTGATCCAAAGGACACAAACCCACCTTTTATTCATCAGAATAGTGGATAATGGAGGATAATCTTCACTTCTACCATTCTCTTTCTGTAGAACTAACATATAGACTGTCATGCAGAACTTAGTGCTGATTCTTTAGCCTTCACTGTCTATGGGATTAAGCACTATTGAACCTAACTGGGCTTTTTTCTGAGTTAGAAATGCTCTGTGCGTTCTTAATTCTTTTGTACACCAAAGAGTGCATAAACAGTCCTCTCTTCAGACAGGTATGAGAAATGGTCATATAAATCATTGGAGAAACCCCAGACTTTTGCATCATTGTGATTGGCCATAGTGTGTTGAAACTGACAAAAAGAGTGACAAAAATGCATTTGGTAGAATTCAAAGATATAGCCTTGTTAGTCTGTAGAATCAGTATGTGGAGAGATCTTTTAGCACCTTTAGCATTTGGTTGTTTGTCTGATTTAATTATCATTTTGTATGGGAAGATAACATGTTCTATAATATTTTAAGTGGTCAGGATCAGTTTAGCTCCTTGTAGAAAACAAAATTTCCCATTATCCTTTGTTCTGAAAAAACAACAACACCTGTACATCTCAGTTAGCATTTCTATACACAACCCATACTGACAGATTTTCAGAATTCACCAGAATGGCTCCATCAAAGGTTATTGGCATGCATTCTCCAGGAGGCCTTTCGTGCTACACAGCTGTAGTTTTAAATTCATTATAACTGCCACGGTTCCATCCTATGGAAGCATGGTATAGTGGTTTGAGTGTTGGTCTAAGTCTCTAGATAATAGAATTCAAATCCCTGCTCAGCATGGCAAATGACCTTGGGCAAGTCACGTTATCTCAGCATCAAAGAAAGGCAAATGAAAATCCCCTCTGAACAAATCTTGCCAATAAAACTCCATGAAATGTTTATCTTAGGATCAGAAACACTTGAAGGCATGCAACAACAAACTTAGAATTTACAGTGAGAGAGGTCTAGTGCCTCACCAGATTTCAAATCACAGAATGTAGCCATGGAATCATAGTACTATAATAA